GAGTCAGATGTTTTGTTACACTGAAAAGACCTTGTAACAGCTTTTCAATTACAAAAAAACTTCACTAATCTTCCCATTTGTAGCAGTGCGTCTTTTCCAAACTCAGATCGTACGTTTACGATTGTCTTTTAGTTTAGCTTATCCTCATCGTGTAAAACTGGTTCTCGGGTTTTTGAGTGACGTCCTCCATGTGAATTGATCAACTGGTTCTTCAGGTTCACAAACGAATACTTTTAGTTGAAAGAGTAGCATACTGCCTATTTTCTTCTTTTTTTTTTAGGTCTGTCGCTTGTATAAAACTTGTGTGAATTACAGTAGTGCACTATTGTTATCATTCTTTCCTTGATTTTTATAATTTTTAGAATGTTAATAGTTTTACGTTTGCGATATTTGTAATAATAATAATAATAATAATTATAATAATAATAATACTTTATTCAAATACTTATGCTTATAAACATGATACGTGATACATATTTGAAAAGGTGGACCGCGAGGTTATCCCTATAAAAGGTCCCCTTCGTTCAATAGATAATTTTGTTATGCCAATTGTACAAGTTTGTTTGTAGCTATTACTTTGTTTGGTTGTGTGAAGAGTGAAACCCTGCCCATCGGAGTTTCTCAATCGGACCGTTTAGCTTATTTTAAAAAACGTAGTCTATTCATGGTTGTTTGGGGAAGTGGTGTTAAGTACATGTCTTTTTTTGGTTGAAAGCTTTTATAGTAAAATATTCATAACCAAACTGGTTCGTAAACGACTTTTGAAAAGGCGGGACTTATTTGTATTGTTATTTTATTCCAACAAGCCGGAAGGTTTCAAAAGACAACTTGGGTACTGATAGCCTGCGAAGCGCAGACGCATTTCCGGTCGTCGCTTCTCTCCCTCCGAGAGAAGAGAGAAGCGACGACCGGAAATGCGTCTGCGCTTCGCAGGCTAGGGTACTGAACGCAGAATGACGAATTGTATTTTTGGTTGTAGCAATATTGTATATAGTTTATTTCTATTCACGTTAACATTTATTGTAATTGTAATTTTTTTACATCTCTGGCTGTTTTGTCTTGACTGGAAGATTCCTGGAACTAAGTGAAATTTGGAGTAAAAGTGGTTTTTCTAACTCAGTACTCAATTATCCCGAAGGAAAATGTGTTAATTCTTGCTTTGACCAATTGGATTTTTACTGAGGTAAGACTAAAATTGATTTGAGTACGATTGACAGCTTTCAAAGTCCAGTCAGGATAAAAGGAGCGGCAACGAGCTCTTGTGAGAGATCCAGCGAGTAGTTGCTTGTAAAGTTGAGTCAAAGTGTGAAGTAATAAAGCTAAGTGAACTTGAAGCCAAAAATTGTCAAGTCATTTGTAGAAGGACTTCCGTCCCCAAAAAGTTCCTTTTACAAAGGCCATATATAGATAACATAGAAAATTGCAACTTGCAGCTTCCTAACAGGATTCCGTGTTGTAAATAAGAAATTCAGGCGTGACAGCCAAGCTTTTTAAAAGTCTTGAGCGCTGACATCAGGAATAAAACGCTTCTTGTAACTTTTCGTTTACCTATTTTGAAGAATTTTATCCTGTATCTTAGCTTTAAGCCCCCCTACTCTTTATCAACCCAGTCATTTGATAGAGTCAAAGCCAACTGTACTTAATCTGCAGTAATACACCGCCGAGAATAACGATTTTTTATAGAGCCGTGGGATCTGTTTGTTTTACTTTTTCAAAATAATCTCCTAAGTGGAAATTGTTCTTTTGCAGTTCTTTTCAGTCTTTCTTTATTGCTCCCAGTTTAACTAGCACAACAAACTTGTGCGGAAACGTTTCCTACGCAGCCTATTTCTTGTTATAAAGGATGCCTGGCGGCATTGCTTTAAAAATACAATTTGTTGTCTTATATATACTTTCGGGGTAGATTTACGATTCTTCTGTTGCCTCAGTACGTATCCTCTCTCCCCAATGCCCCTCCCTTTTCCCCTTCCTCCTTATCGCCTACCCCTTTCGACGCCCGCTACGGAGGCCAGACTTCCAGGACTTTCATGCTGGTTTTTACATTACGGCGTCAAAAATCAAACTAAAAGAATTATCGAGCCTACTGACTTTTTACTTTGGGAAGTATTAGAGCAGCCAAAAACTAACATTTATACGCATTTTCAATTCGAAAGGGTCTTTTTGTGTGTGATAGAGTACGCGGAATTTCTAAGCTTTTGCGTGCCATGGCATTTACATTGCGGCCGAGAGAGCTGTCACGTAGGATAAAAAGTGACTTATTTTGGGGAAATTTGCTATCTGAACCGTTATTGTATTACAAAAAGTACTACTTTAATGTCGGTGTAATGTTTATGATCGAGTTCCTCGAAAGATAAATACACGCATTCGTAGTAAACACAGTAAAAGATGTTTTCTGTGGGTTCCGGCCGGCGAGTACATTTCTCGTTGTTGCACGACTACTACGTGAAACTTCCAAATTTCGCGGTTTATGGAGGACGTGAACACAAGACAATGATTTTCTCAGTATTTCTTTTTGTGAACTTGGGTGCAGTCCGTTAGAATTCAACTCCTGACGAAATCGTCAACATTTGATAAATTAAAAGGGTTGGAATAGGGGCGATGAAGTTTGAAACAGCGCGACTTTATTTTTTAAGAGACGTTTTTGTAGCTGTCGCCGTCGTAGTTGCTTAAGCTCCCATTGAGGAAACTAACCCACGGCCCCTATGGTGTCCACAATAACGGACTAGACTGTGCACATATATTGGTCATATCTGCCCAACGGTCACGATAGTTTGGTTAAACAAAGGGGGTTTTGCTCAGTTGCGTCAAGAGAGAATGAGCATTCTCTCTTGGTTGCGTAGACAAAATACCGGATGTTGAGGGAAAAGATGATCCTGTGGCCACTACCCAAGATATGATTCTACCTACCCTTATTTGGTATTAGTGCCAGTGTAGCCTGTTCCAGGCTCCGAGATAGTCGGGTTCGCGGAATTGAGAAAGCGCGAACACGAAGATAAAACGGGAGGAAACTGGGGAGAGGAAGGGCTTCCTTTTCCCCTCCGCCCCTTCTCCGCCGCCCCCGGTACGCTTGCCTTACACTTGCATTGACACTTGCGCGTTATCCTATCTGAGAGTCTGAAAAAGGCTAGTACCAGTGATACCGCGCAGTTATCGCTATTAATTTATCTACAGAAACCACAGGCAGCCCAAGCGCACTATTTGTGGGTTCGGGCTTCAGAGGTCATTTGGTCGGAATATACTAGAATTATTAGTGTATTATCTGATGCCAAATAAATGCAAAAAGTCTTAAACATATTTAGCCGAAGTTTAGCCGAAGTCTTCTTGTTTGTCTATCTGTACTAGTAGCCTTTAAGATAACGAAAATCGATATTTCTTGCATTATTACATGTGATTCGGGCCCTTATTGTTTGAATTTTATCACATGTATTCGAATCTACAATGCTAAGAAAAAATAAATCATGATCACGCGAAATATTGATTCAAGAAGCTCCCTTACCTTTAGTTCATAGCCACTCTGTGTCCTACGGTCGGTTTAAACGCGGTTTAGTCGACTTTCTTTCCATCGAATACTGAACACTATAAACGAAGGGAAAGCTGGAGACCTTCCAACCGACCCTCGCCGCTCGAAGGTCAATAAATTCCAAACAAAGCGACCGATCTCCCTAAAATTGCCACCAACCAGACCGAAGAGTGTATACCTACCCGTTCGACGAGCACCAGGTTCTAAATTCGGCTGCATGAGCTCGAGGAGCGCTGCATTTCGCATCGATTCTGGCCAGCTTCGCTTCGCCATGATGTGCAATTCTGACTGTTATCCTATGAGATTTGAATCTTGGAGCTTGGCGACCGTGTCAGATCGACAAAACGTCACTCTTGTCGGGGAGGGTCGTCACTTTGCCCTATTGCAAACCGACACCGTCCGGGGAGCCGGTGTGTTTAATTCGGCCGGAAAAACAGCTCACGCGTGTATGACACATGAAACCCAAAAACGTCCCCAACTGTCTTTTCTCCGATTTGAGATTTAAATCTTGCCAATAACAATTACAAAACCAGTTCGTTGCAGTCAGTTGTCTGGATCAGTAGTTCTGTTCAAGTTTGATATTTCCTTTCGTATTTTAACAACAGTTCTTTTCAGAGCTACCCTAAAATATATTTTTCTTCTTCACGTAGCTTGTTTGTTAGTAAAAATCACGTATATTTCGGTTCCTGTGGCGATCGCGTGTATCTAGCGTTTGAAGAAAGTCTGTTGATAACGATGTTATCAAAAGTAGCCAGAAAAGAGGAGGATTTTCCTCTGAAGAAGAAAAGAAAATCTTTTGGCTGTTCAGAAGAGTGGAAAATATGGTAAGTGAAACAAATTCTAATAATTATGTCGGTGTCGGTTTGCGATAGGGCAAAAGTGACGACCCTCCCCCGCGAGGGTGACGTTTTGTCGATCTGACGCGGTCGCCAAGCTCCAAGATTCAAATCTCGTAGGATAACAGTCAGAATTGCGCATCATGGCGAAGCGAAGCTGGCCAGAATCGATGCGAAATGCAGCGCTCCTCGAGCTCATGCAGCCGAATTTAGAACCTGGCGCTCGTCGAACGGGTAGGTATACACTCTTCGGTCTGGCTGGTGGCAATTTTAGGGAGATCGGTCGCTTTGTTTGGAATTTATTGACCTTCGAGCGGCGAGGGTCGGTTGGAAGGTCTCCAGCCTTCCCTTCTTTTATAGTGTTTAGTATTCGATGGAAAGAAAGTCGACTAAACGGCGTTTAAACCGACCGTAGGACACAGAGTGGCTATGAACTAAAGGTAAGGGAGCTTTTTGAATCAACATTTCGCGTGATCATGATTTTTTTTTCTTAGCGTTGTAGATTCGAATACATGTGATAAAATTCGAACAATAAGGGCCCGAATCACATGTAATAATGCAAGAAATATCGATTTTCGTTATCTTAAAGGCTACTAGTACAGATAGACAAACAAGAAGACTTCGGCTGAACTTCGGCTAAATAT